ACAGCATCCACAACCCCAGCTCTCCCTCCTGCTGGAGAACACAGATCCACTGGTGCTCTGGAAAGGAGGGGGACAGAAACACCCCAGCAGAGCCTCTCTCTCTGTAGGAAATTATTTTTGCCTTGAGCCAAAACCAAATTCTGCATCCTGGCCAACTTTCAGCTCAAAGGTCAGAAGAGTACAAACCAAGTGGAAAGGAGTGGATAACAATTTGTTACTCAAATGACCAAGCAGTACAGGACTACAAGAACTTATTTAGAAAACAGCATTTCTGCATTTCTATAATCCAGCAGTAAATAACAGGAACCAGAAGCATTGGTGGTGAGCATTGGCAGGTTTCTGCTGGTGATGGTTGGCTTTTTTTTTAAATAGCTCATTGATTTTGGATTGCATCCATCTCCAGCATTGTGGCTCCACTTCATGTAGTAATTTCCTTCAAACCAGAGTACACTTCTACAGCCAAGTCTTTGTTTTGTAAATGTCATTGCACTTCAACACTATTAACCAGACACCCCTATTTCAAGCTGATATTCCTAAATTCAGTAAAAATAAGTATCAGCAACACTGCAACAGAGCCAAGTGAAAATGGAAAATGTTTCTGACTCCACACAGCCCTGAGTGCAGTGCAGTGTACTATTCCTTTCTGAGAGAGTTTGGATCAGTTGATTAATGGGCCCACTGGTGTTATCCATCCCAAGACCCCCTGAAACCATCCAGTCATCCCCTTCCCCTGGAAGGGGAAAGCCTGGAGGCTTTCAGAGGACAACTTTGGTGCTTAAGGACTTTATGGACAAACTAGGCATTAACTTTCAGACATTTTACTGACAACTGGAAGTCCTGGACTCCATGCCTGCTACAAGCAGCTTCCCTTTCCATCATTCATGGCCTTCCCAAGTTGCCTGCTTGGATCAGAAGGCAACAGGGCAAACCAATGTCCATTCACTGCAGTGTCAGGGCAACTGCAGCTATCAGAAACTGCAGCACGGTGCTTTCCCCACCAGCACCTTCCCATTCCATAGAAAGCAGAAAGTGAGCACAGCTTTGCCAAAGCCTGTGGGTTAGGAGTGACAAGAACAGAGCTCCAAAGCTCATCTTCCCTCTGATAGCTGCGAGAACACTGGAACTGGTCCCAGCACCCGACCCTCAAGGTTAAATGAATGTTATTTCAGAAAAGCAAGACAAATTAGTGCTTTATGACCAACAAGCTTTGTTCATGGAAGCTTTCTCTTCAGAGGGCTAAGCTGCCTATTGTAAAAACAAGTGCAGAGTACAGTAATTTTTTTAAACCCTTGAGCTCAAAGTTTTTCACTGTATCTCTGAGAGCTGCTAATTTGGTGACTGAAAAGTGATGCAGGTTTAAAAGCATCTTGTTCTGCCTCTCTGCAGACCACTGGCAGAGCAAATAAATTATCAGTGTTTGGATTCTCATTACCTCAAATTAGCCTCAGCATATGATGACAGGAGCAGAGCCAAGCTGTCTGTGGGCCCTTATGTGGCACCTGTTAGCACTCCATAAAGGACACAGAAAAGGGAGGCCAGGTTCTCTCTGCTGTCTGACCACTACAAAGCTTTCCTGTCAGACTACTGATACCTCTTCTGACAGCAACTTTCAGCCTGCACACCCACATGCTCCTAATCCACTAACAATGAAGCACTTGCCATACTTGGAAGTGTCCCTAAGGAGTGCAGGGACTGCATAAGGAAATTGGGGCAGGGATGAACGACTCTGCCAAATAACATGTATCATCACCACCACAAAGACATCCATCTAAAGCAACACGTTTGTTTTCAGGCAAGCCTAAAATAACCACTGCAACAAAGAAAACAGTGAGTTCAAAAGAGAATCTTCAGGTTATCACAGGGGAAAGTGAGATACAAATCAAAGTGTTCTGTTTCATCATTTATTTAAATAATTTTACTGGGCATTGCAGGCTGCAGCCACAGGAGCAAAGACAGGCAGGCACATCTTTGGATGGGACAAAGTGACCTGCTCCAAAATACATCCAAAACAAAGCCAGCTGTGAAGAGCCAGAGCTGATGGGGAGGATCATCACAAGAGGCACATTCTCCTCCCTTACACACTGCTCCTATTACAGCCTGGATCACTTACTCCTCTCAGGCACTTACTCCTCCTTGCCTGTGATTGCATTTGCAGCAGTCACACATCTGTCCAGGGACTAAAACCACGGCTGTGACCTTGAGGCTACACCATGGACCAGACCATGAAGAGAAAGCAAATGCATCAGCTTCCCATGCAACCCTCCCACAGGGCCCTTCTGGCACTCAGTGTGTCAGACTCCCAGGTTTTGTGTCACTGTGGGACTGTGCAGGAGCTGATTGTGATGCTGTGCCTCCCCAGCAGCCAGCTGGCCCTTCCATTCCTGCCTCTGGCCCTTCCTCCTGTCCTGTTTCTCATGTTTCTAATGGCTATCAGCACTCGAGACAGGCTTTCAAGCAAAACACATCCATGCAGGAGCTTGATTTAGTAGTGTTTGAACAAAAAACACTTGCTATTTTTGATAACTTTAAGGGGAAAAATAGTGGGACTGAACCTTAGTGCTAAAGCTGCCCATAAACACGGATTGGGCACTGGCCCAAATACAACAAGCCTGCCCACAGCTGTGATATATTTAATCAGGTCTTACAGACTAATTATTTTGCACAACTAAATCCAGCACCTGTGAAAATTGTCTTATTTCAGCTGTAGGCAAAGCTACTTAACATTTTCACTTTCAAGAAGAAAACCCAAAACAGTATCTCTTCAAGTCCAAAATATCCACAGCCAACTGCAGTGCCAAGGCAATGCAGAGGGAATATTTAACTCAATTCACATCAAAACTCCTACTCATTATTAATACTTGTGGCACTTCAATGTCCCCAGAACTGCCTTCTGACTTCTTTGAAAAAATATAAGGAGATGATAACTTAAAACCCAACAACATTCTCTTGGGTGTCCTTCCAAAAAGGTTGTCTCCTTTCCCAATGAAATTTAATTCCCACCACAGTGTTCTCAGAGATGGACTACTGAAAATCCATTTCTCACACCACAGTAATCTTGAAAATTATTTCATCAGTAGTGGTATAATATTAATAGTATTGTCTGCTACAGTGCATAAAAAACAGCGAAGATGTCCTTTCCTCAGAAGCAGGCAGCAAGGCTAACTACTGCTTTGCTTTGACTAAACTAACAGTACTAAAAGTAAATTGTGCATGAAAATGGTACAAGTAAACACCACTCCGTACAAATGAATAAAGCTATTTTTCACTAAGTCTGAGTCAGTTCTCACTGCTGCAAGAAACATGAAATCTAAAAAGCATCTGAAAGCTTCTAAAATCAGGGTTTCCTTTTCTCAGACTGTACAATGTGCTGTTGGCACACTCACTTTATCATTCAAAATAGCAACAAGTGAAAACAGACCAAAAGGACAGAGTTAATTTAATGCAAAGATCTTCTCCCTCAGTGAATGTCTCGCCCAGCACCACTCTTAGCAACAGAATGTTTATCCAGCACAAGATAAAGAGAGGCTTTTCACTGACACCTGGGACAAAACCAAAGAACAGAAGCAGCTCCCAATGCAAGCCAGCAAAGTTACATTTTTCAAGTGTTCCCACCTAATGCAGACAGAAGGCAGCCACAGCAAGTCACAACAAACAACCTATTTACCCTCTTCCAGAAAATGCTTGTAAATCTGAACTGTGTGAAATGTCTAACTAGTGCTTTCATTCCATCAAAAGGCTTCATCAGCAATGGACAATAAAGCCTCTGGCTTGACCTGAAGGGGCTGGTAGGTTAATCTATTCTGACCTTACCTTTATTCAATCATAATACTGAAAGATTGCTTGAATGAATAACCAGCATTTAACAATGCCAACAGCCACCCTTTCACTACTGGGCTCTTCTGAAGTGCCCTCCAAGCCCATTTTTTAATCAAAGGGGATATCAAACATTTTCAAAAATGAATTGTAAAATAAACCAAAATGACATTTCTCGCTCATGACTAAAAAAGGAAAGATATAAAAAACCAAAAGCAGAAGAAAATGTCTCTTGCCCCTTCATGTCTCTTTCAGACTTCCACCATCACTTATTGTCAATTTTAGATAATATGCTGTCTCTTATTAACTGTCAGTCATGTCTTTTATTTTTAGTATTTTCACTCAAATGGGAGAAACCAGACAAAAAAAGATACTAGTGCTAAAGCCTGCCTTCTAACAATAGGCTTAATCATCCAGGCCTCAACACTTGGTATTTTAGTAACTACCAGTTTCATTTCAGAACCAATTCCATGAGGGTGCTCAGCACTGAACACAGCAAAGCAGAGTTAAAATGAAGCAGATAATTAGGCCCACAGAGGTCAGTAAGTTGGATTCATCACTCACTGACTGACTTAATCACTCAACTCTCAAAAGTTGAAAGTTCACAGCCTATGTTTAAATGCCTTTCTAGAGAAAAGCCTCCAGTAACTCAACCCTACAGTGCAAAGTTCTACTCAAGCATTTTCCTCCTGTAACAGTACAATAACCACATGTGGGAAGGAACTAAATATTCTGATATGTGCCTGTTAGAGCAAGGTACTCCTGAATTTTGTCATGAAGCAAGAACTGTATTCTCATGTGACATATCAGTTAGAGCACTTAGGAAACAAATGTGTCTTCATTGCATGTTCTACACCTGTACATGGTCTGGCAACACAAGAGAATATAATATCAAAAAGGACGATCAGCAGGCACTGAAAAGACATTTGAAAATGCCTTAAAAATCCACACTAACCCCAGAAACAAGGTCTCAGCTTAAACCTATTCCTAATTAGATTTAGGAGGATGCCTAGCATACCAGTCAAGATTAAGTGCCATCACCTTTATCCAAAAGCACAATCAGCAAAGAACTGGGAAGCAAAACACAAGGCAGTGACAACAGCACGCAATGCAAGAGGAATTAAAAATAAAGATAAGAGCTTTCCTTTGGATAGCAGAGGATATATAAACTACTCAAAACTTCCTACCTTGAAAAGCTGTGATGTGACCAACAATCATGTACTTCAGCTCAAAGTTCAGTGCCTGGATGCTCTGAGTCCTCTCCCTTCGAACAGCTGCCTGGTAGCTTTCTTCCATTTTTTTGGTGCAACATGTTGGTGCCCTGTGTTGACAGATCTGTAAATCTGACTCTTAAAGCAAACAAGAAAAACACAAAAATTAGAAAACCCTTGAACTTACACCGTAAAAGCAATGCATCTTTACGTCAAAAACACATTTTAAATTTTGAAACAAGACAAAACCCACGAAGAATGACAATGTGAAACTCTGAAGGACACAAAGTTGAGATTATTTCATTTGAGGAAAATGACATTATCAGCTGATCTTTTACTCTGTTAAGAACACTGAACACAGTCAGGGGCACAACAATCATCACCACGAAGATGCACCATCAAAGGGGCAGTATTTCCACCACACACCTTGTGCTAAAGGCATCAAAACTTGAATGTATGAGTGATAGCCATGCTTCAAATTAGATTCCAATACTCACCCATGTTGTGCCTCAAGGAATCACCTAGCCAGCTCTCACACTAGGGGAACCTTCTTAAAAAATTGAGTTCCTAGGCAGCTCACCAAAAAAAAAATAAATTTAAAGGCACTGTAATCACTCTCACTTTGCAACTACAGAAAAAGTTGAAAGCTGATTTAAAACTTCATTCTTGTAGAATGTATTTTTTTTAATAATAATTCCTCCTGTGTACGTGTTTCAGTAAGTTCAGTATCCTTGGTAAGGAAAGCTACACCACAGAGCTGTGATGGACACACTCAGGGTCTGTCTGCTCTACACCACAGCATGTGCAGGTGCCAGAAAGGGTCTGGTACAGACTGCAGATGAGGGTTTTCTGATGCTCCACAAATACGTGTTTTTACAAGGGGAGTTTAAAAAGCAAGCACACATAAATACCAGAGCCCAAAGTCCCACAGGATCAAGTGTGGCAGGGTGGCTTCCCTGCACCTCAAGCAGAGCAGAGGGGGAAAGGGGCCACAGGTGGCCACCCGCACCCACCCCTCAGGCTCTGGATGGAGACAGCCTTTCCCAGCAATGCCAGGGCCACACAGGTGGCCAAGCTCCCCATCCCCACCCCACAGCTGGCTCTATGGGCCATTTGAACTGGAGCTGGTGTCCCCACACTGACCCTCTCTGTGCCCAAGGGGGTCTCTGCTTCCAACCACTGCCAACACCACTGGCAATCCCTCCCCACACAGCACCAACAGGGATGGAGGGCACGCGTGGATGAAAACAGCCCTGGGTCTCCAAGAGCCACAACTCCTCCAGAGCATTTCTCACCCAAACACCTGCAGAGAGCCCAGACCAGACCTTGGGATGGAAATATTAATGAACCATCACCTGCACTACCCCTCACACCTGGCCTTGCACGTTAAAGCACAGCAATGCTCCACATCACTGACAGTGATTAAAATAAAGAGGATGCACTCTGAAAAATCAGCAGGCATCCCCAAGGGAGCAGGCTCTGCTCAGAGCCAGCTCCAGGTCACCACTCACTGACACCAAACCCACAGGGAGGAGCTTCAATCAATCTCCCTCACCAGGGAAAAAATAAAAACACTGAGTTAGCTGAAACATCTCATTTGACTTGAAAATGTTGCTTCCACTTTATAGCAACTCTTATTTGAAAGCAGAGGTAATTTATGCCAAGAAGGTCAAAAAACAGAGTAAAATATTTCAATTCACTACATTTTTATATGTTTGCAAACAAAGATTGAAGTTGTCACAGACTGCTCAATCAGGAGACCATTTTGGAGGTGGATTTGTTTCACATTTCAGTCTAATCTCAAGAATGGCAAACAGCTCTCCCCACTGCAGTGTTTTTTGATCTAGGGTAAATGTGGGTATTTACGTGACAGACTTTTACAGGTAGCTTTTGTACTTGAGTGGTGATGTTTTTTTCAGTCGTTAGCAGTTCAGATCGGTGTTTCTGCTTGGATACAAGCATGATAAAGTGACCCCAAGACACGTGTGAAGCCCCAAGCCCTGCTGAAGGCGCTGCCAGAAGCAGCAGGGCTGTGCTCGTCACTGGCTGGGCACGCTGGGCTGCCACAGGAGCTCTCCCAGGTTGGAATTGGCTTCTTGGACAGGCTAATTTTAACTTGGATGGGCTCCCTGATGCAGGTCACTCTCTGAAAACATCAGTCCTGTCACATGGAACCGGGGGTCAGGGAAGGACCACTGCTCTGAGCTGGCAGCAGCAAAGCACGAGTGAAATGTTAACACAGATACCCAGCAGATACCCAGAGTGTTCCTGCTCACAGCAGCCCTCTGCAGTGTTGTTGGATGGGCTTTTTTTTTTTTTTTTAGTTTTTCCCAAAGCATGCACGCTAAAACTTCAAACTATTGCTCTATTTATTCCTTAGAAGTTTAAGATTACACAATAAACCTAATACATATTCATGTTTTAACTCCGCTTACTTTCGCTTCATATTTAAAGAAACCAAAAGTCCTTTTGCGCTTGCGCTTCCCCAATTCAAAAGTCGTCGAAAGTTTCTAATAAAAGCTTTCAAACTTCTTATTGCACTTAAACTTTTCAACTTTATCTCTAAAACATGCATCTTAGCCATTTAGGCACATTCCAAATCTTAAAGTTAGGTTTTTTTAGTTTAAAATTTTAAATTTATTGCTTATTACTAGTAGCTTTGCACCTCTTGCTTTATTTGCAAGTCTTGGCTCCATTTATTACAAAGCAATTTATCTCCTCCCGATTTTTACAAACATAGTAAACGTCAAGCATTCCTTATTACTTTAGTTTTTAATAAACTATTCCTTACTTTTTAATTTAGTGTCTCATTAGCAAAGCTCCCAGCTTTGCAGTCACAGGTGCTCCAGGCTGCCCGTGTGCTGGCCCTGGCACTGCCCCTGAACCCAGCACACAGCAAACCTGCTTCTCCTCCTTTGAGGAGCTTTGAGGACACAGATCTCAGCTGATTCCCCAGCCAGCTATCTCCCCCGAGGAATGCTCCAGGAGCCTGAACACTGGGATCCGTTGGTCCAGAGCCAAAATGACACAGAAGGCACTCCTAAATAGAAACAGCACTAAGCCCCTGACAGCTCAGGAGCCTGATGTAAAACACAGAGCACTGAAAGCCCAGCAAAGAGCAAGCCCTGCTCTGCTCACAGGCCTGTGGGGTCAGTGCTGCCATGCACACAGCCTGGCAATTTCATTGCTCCACTATTAGCCTCAGGGTATCACTTCTAACACAATTATAGAAACCTAATAAAAGGTTTCGCTGCTATACATGCCTGGGTGCCGAGATTAAATTAGAACTCATTAGCAATATCTTAATGTCTCTAATAACTCTGATACTAATTTTAGTTTATCTCATCCCTTTCATCTTGATGAAAAATGCCCTCTGCAGTGGGGAGAGGGGAGGAGCAGTGGCAGAGGGGTGGCCGAGGGGCTGAGCCCCCAGACACAGAGCATCCTGTCAGCCCTGCTCAGAGTGCTGCCCACCAGCCACGGACACAGCCTCAAGGGCAAATTCCTCCCTCTTGTAAGGAACAAAGCCCTTCAATACACCCCAGAGACAGCACCCTTCCTGAAAGGCAGAAGTTACCCACAGCATCATTTCAGGATTTCACCCTGCTGATTTCCCCCTAGGACTTGGTCACCAGCTTTCCCCAAGCTGCCTCTCATTTCCTAACCAGTAATTTGGGAGGAGCTCTACCTCAGCCTCCCCCTCAAAGCACATCTAACTATGTAAGAGCTTTACCCAGTCAAGTTCCAAGCATCTGCAAAGCTGAACAATACCACTACCTCTCAGAACACGTTTCAGTATTTGACTATGCTCATGGTAAAATAAGTAAATTTAAAATTCTATCTAATTTCCCGTGTTCCAACTCACATCTGTGGTTTTACAGCATACAGCCATGCTGACTCCACTTTCTCTATTTTCTCCTAAAGGTACCTGAAGGCATCAGTATGGCCTCCCTTAATCTTAATCTTCCTACAACTGTGTTCCAGCCCTGACCATGATGGGAGCCCTCTGCCAGACTCTGTGCCACACATGCAAAGCACCTGCATCCAAGGCACCTCTCGAGCTCATTTTCTTATGTATTAACTTTCTGACAGAGCACAACACTTTCAACTCTACATGCCTGGGCTTCGATCCCAAAAGGTTTATAGCTTTCCTAAAATAAATTAATTTTCTGCTTCAGATCAGATGTAAGGATTACTCTGCTGATTATGTACATTATTTTTCCATTCAAGTCTCTTTCCCTTGAGTACTGGTTAAAACTGTGGCCCAGTTTATTTATTAAAGTGAGAAAAATGACAGACTTTAAACCCTTACTGTTATTACAAAAAACAGGATAAAGTATCTTGATCCACTTTGGGAAACAGTCACATTCAGAAGTGCAGGGAAAAAAGTAACTGAGTCTAAAGAACGTTGTGTTTTGGAATTCATCAAAGATCCCTGTTGAGAACTACTGTGCAACCACAAAGCAATTAATACATGCCACAGGCATCACCTTCAGACACTTCCCTGTCACAATTATAAATTACTTTATGTGCTAAATGCACAGAAAACTGTGTATCCTTACCTGACATCCATCTGGCCAGCTCTATCAAAATCAGCTAGGGAGTATTTTGTTGTGTGTTATTTTGTGTGTTGCTTGGAGAACTTTTCATCTTGAATCAAAAAGTCTGGGACTTCATTTTGAGCTTTTGTACAAATAAAATCTAAGACTTTGGCCATTAAAACTAGCTGAATCAGTATCACTTCCCAAAAGCAGAGAGGCCTGTTTAACAAACAAAATTAACTTCTTTCAAAAGCTGAATGTATATTCATTTTGATAGCTGACCATGTATTTAACAGTTTTGTCTTTAAAATGCTGTACACACTTTAACAGCCATACTCTGAAACCAGAAAACTAAACTTAACACACACTAACTGATCCACCTGCACCAACTTTTTCAAAGACAGGCTGATTTCTTTTTTTTCAAACAAGCTGAGCCTCTACTTTCCACTGCACAGAAGAGTCCTGAGCAAGCACGATCAGAGGGTGAGCTCAGTGCAATCTGTCTTCTGACAGGTTTTGCCTTTGTATTTTGACAAGCATTTCAACAGTATTTCCAAACAAAGCTTTAGTCCAAAGCCCAAGATTTTAATGTTGTAC